AAGCTCAGCAGCACTCACATACAAAGAACCCCCAACAACTGCCAACATCATACCTTTATCAATTTCATTACAAATGCAGCACAGGTGTTCATTTCTTTCCCCCATTGAGACGCGAGGAAAACATTGTGGGCACTAGCCTACCGTCGCCCCTCCCCTTGCCTAAAATAACTTCGCCAAAGGATTTAAGTTATTTCAAAGGTTCTTACTGCCTAAAACAGCAAAATAAACAAAACCCACAAAGACACTGACCAAGCAAATAAATATAGTAAACAATAGTATAAAAACAAAAAATTATTTCCATATTTTTCCTACAAAATTACGTTTTATTATGTACGGAAAACATATTTCTCCCGCTCTCTCTCCCTTACAAATGCACACACATACAGAAACACACAAACATACACGCGCACAGAAATGTGTTTTCAGCGCTACTGTGACGATTTTATCAGTAAAATAATTTATTTAATTACAGATTTTTGTTACTGGACAAAACAGCAACTAGCTCAAGTTTTCATTCATTTCTTAGTAGACTGTTAGTAGGCTCATAGTAAACGAGCTTACAGCGGGCCATTTCGGATGCAGCCTTTGATAGTGGTAAGGAGTTTCAGTAACTGCAGGTTACATCATTACACCAGTAGGTGGCGACAAGTTACTGTGTTTATGAATGAATTCAGGGACGTGATTAATCCGGAATTCCGTTTATTTCGGCCTAAAATCATGACCACGTGAATCATACAGATCTGTAATAAGAAAAAAATGTGTAGTTCGGGTGACTGCATGATGATTGAAATCGCGAATGAACTAAATAAACTGCGAAAAGGTTATGTTTTCTAATACATCATGGACGGAATGGTCCTGAGAGCGCTGCACGAGCTCGCGGCGCCATCTGCAGGACAGTTAAAAGGGTTCAAATGGTTCAAAGCGCCAAATGCAAGTTGAATCAAAGACTCTAGAACAGGGGTTTTCAAACCTGTCCTGCTGAAAGAAAAAACCCCTGCTAAAACCAGCTAGTTTTAGCTGGTCATCCAGCCTGGTCATAGCTGGTCAGCAGGCTGGTTTTAGAGAGGTTTTGGCCACTTCCTTAGCTGGTCAAGTTGGTCTTTGCTGGTCAGGCTGGGAGACCATCTGGAACAGGGGTCTCCAACCTTTTTGTGATTGAGGGCTAAAGGAATAAAATAGTGTCAAGGGCTACTTGTTTGATATACTCCTTATATACAGTATATATATATATATATATATATTCCCCCCCCCCTTTTTTTAAATATCTTGATATATTGCCATTAATAAACATTAATGATTTCTCACAAGCATTTAATTTTTTTTATCAATCCAGGAAAATATTCCAGATAAATTTATAAAAATAGGCTATCATACAATATTGATATTTATCATGATATTCATTTACCATTAATGGGGAAGGAAATGCGTTCCATATGTTTGTTAGACCTTGAGAATGAAGGTAAACATAACTTTGTTCACAATGAAATTCCACAGAGGAGCTACGTTGTAATTTAGGGCCCCATGAAATGCATTTTATTTTTCCCTAAATTCTGTGTTTTCCATTAGATTTCTTATGGATTCTGTGTTTTATGATTCAATTTAATTAATCCATTAAAATGCAATCAAATGAAAATCAATTGCAAAACATTTTTTATTTTTTTTTATTTTATCAGACATGATGCTGCACAACAGAACTGTATAAATTAATAATAATAAAAAATAACTTGATTGTATGATATTCCTTAAAAATAATATTATTATTATTACTTTGAGAATTGCATTGTAGTAGACAGTAGTAATTTATTCAGTTATAATTTCAAGTTAAACCGGACTTTTATTTTGACGGCTTGTCGTGAAGTTCTTTCAGTTTTAGTTTTAGTTTCAGCATGTATTTGACGGTACTTTTTCTCAAATTAAACTGCATAAAGCTGGTGAAGTGACTCTCAGAGCAGCTCTGAAGATGAAGTGCATGTGTTCATGTCCTCATATATTGAGACACAGATGCTGAAAACACCGCGAGTCACGTGTGTTTGAGTTTGTGTATCAGCTGAAACTAAACTACTCCACGCATTCACACAGACACACGGAACATGCAGACTTATTAGCGACATGCACTGACTGGTTGCTGTAACATTTATTTCTGTTGTGTGATAGGATGTTAGATTAATCCATATTGAGTAAAAATGTCCAGAGCTTATCATCATTATTAACATAGATTTTATCGTAATTTTTTTATCGATATCCATTTGATATCATTTATCGCCCGAAGCTAATTTAGGCTATTTATAGAATGTGCTTGGCGGGCGACTCAGAGACTCCATACGGGCTACCACGTTCGTTGGTGACCACTGATCTGGAACAACCAGCTAAAACCAATTTGACCAGCCTAGCCAGACTGGGAGACCAGCTACTTCCAGTTTAAACCAGCTTAGGCTGGTTTTAGCTGGGTTTTTTGGGGGGTTTTTTCAGCAGGGACCCCCAGCCCTGCTCATTTTGTATGTCACCCTCATTTAACACACCTGATTCAACTCATCAGCTCGTTAGTAGAGACCGCAAGACCTGAATCGGGTGTGTCGGATAAGGGAGACATACAAAATGTGCAGGGCAGGGCTCCAGGACAGGTTTGAAAACCCCTGCTCTAGAATACTTAATATTTCACAATTTTGCTGTTTTTACTTTATTTTTGATCAAATAAATGCAGCTTTGGTGAGCAGAAGAGATTTATTTAAAAATCATTAATAACTGTAATGTTTCCAAACTTTTGGCAGGTACTTAAATAAGTCTATTAATACTTTTATTATATTATATATTATTAATTATTATCATGATTATTAAATGCTGTTTTTTATTTTTATTTTTACAGGACAGTAGTATGTATTATTACAATATAATATATATCTTTTAATGTGATAAAATAATAATAATAAGTGCCGGGGGCGTGGTCAGATTTTCCTGCTTTTTTTGTCTCTAACTGATAGCATGCCTGATCATTGATTCATCCACTCAACTAATTTGTTTCAAAACGCTGATTCATTCAAGGATTCATTCTCAGAAAAAGTGCGACGGTTGGTTCTGTTTTGGCTTGGTTTAGAGCTGTTTTTATCGGATACAGTAGTGGCTGGCAATATTGTGTTCAACACCTAAGTAATATTATCCTCTTGTTTAATGAACTGTTCTATAAAAAAAATAAGATACATTTGGGCTGCTGTTGTGAACTTTTTTGGAACAACAGCACTTTTGATTATATATACTGATTAATTTTTTCACTAAAAATGTTCTGCCTTAACCTAATTTTATTACTTGGTTTTATAAGGCTCAGATGTGATTGGTTAATGTAAGATTTAGACTATTGTTTAATTAGTTTAACCTAAATTTCTCCATGGGTATAGGCCTACTTCTGTTACTGAGATGGGTTTTGCCCCCCACACTCCCTCTTTTCTTTGGAGTGCTGTGTCGCCTCATTAACGGGAATGTCAGATACAGTCACCCTTATCTACATTTATTGGTGACAGGATATGCAATTGACAGATGCTTTCATCTTATGGAGCCAATCAACTCGTCCTTGCCTGGACTTCTCAAGGTTGAAGCTGTATCCCATTCATTTGCTTGCTGAGTTTAAACTGTTATTGTTCACCATTCCTCAGTTCAAAGGCTCAGAGCACATCCTGACTCATTATACAGGCCCGCTGGAGAATGGTCTCACCTCTACTGCTCTTAAAGTAACAGATAAACCTATCAATCACCCGTTCCCTTTCCTTTTTCCTGTATCTTTGTCCTCGTTTCGCCTTCACAGAGGTTTATGGTGAATTATTTTCTCTTAATCCAGTCTTTTTTCTTGTATATGGTCTGAGGTTTAAGGCGATTCTTCTTTTGGCCGGTGATCCGTGTCATATTCTCACAGAAAACTAAGACTCAGCAGAGCGAAACTCCTTCTTTCTGACAGTGACTTCTGTCAGGGTGTCAAATGTGTGCCTCTTAAACTGACTGACAGCAGATCCACTCCCTTGGCCACTAGCTTCTTGAGTATGACTCACACATACATGATTTTTCTCCACAACCTTCAACAGCACCGACACTCGCTGAAGGTTAGTCTGGTAAATCATCCTTAAATCAAGAGAAAAGAACTACACTTTTGGCAGCTCAAGGACTAAGTCACAGGCTGATCTATTTTTTTTTTTGGCTGCTCAGCACAATGTGAACATGTCCTTTGATAGATCCATGATGTATAAGGGTGCAAACTATTTTAAATTCAACCCCAAGACTGCGTCCTCTGAAGTTTAATGTATATTTGATTATAGTAAATCATTCCTAAGATGATGTCATCTTAGGTTTAACATTTGATTACATGCAAATCATCTTTAAGATTGCTTCACCAAAAATTTACATATATTTAATTGTATGTAAATAATTTCTAAGATTGCAATTAATATTTGCCTCTTATTAATGCTGTAAAACAACATGATCTTTTTGACATTATAAGTAATATATACAATCAATCAGTCAAATGAACCAGAAAATTAACTTTTATATATTTTTCTTTGCAAAAAGTTTACCGTGAGGCAATGCTATTTTAGTATCATTGATATACTACAATAGTTTTTATTTTATTTTATTTTATTTTATTTTAAATTCAACTTTATTTTTATTTTTTTCAGTTTTAATTTTAATTTTATTTAAAGGTATAGTAATTGTATTTGTGTGTTTTTGTCATTTTTATTTTCTTATTTTTATTATGTTTTGTCATATTTGTCTATATAGTTTTAGTTAACTATAGTAACCGTTCAGATATCTAAACAAAACAACTAATGCCTATTTAAAAAAAAAACGTCAAATTGAGCACAGATTGAGTAAAGAAAGCACAAACACAGAAACACAGAAAAACTACGATAAAAAAGACAAAAAGGGGAAAAAATTTACAATAATATTAGGAACCTCTAAAGATGCTTTTTGGTCTCTACTGTCCATAATTGACCGCCATTCATTTTGCGTTGCCTGTCAAGACTCGTACTTGCGCGACGCTCCCTGGTTTTACCAAACGGCAGCTGACTGGATGTTGGAGGACTGAGAGGAGGAGTAGCTGTTGCAGTAACAACATCCTGGATATTGGAGCCTGGCGGCGCACACGGCTACAGAAGTAAAGGAGGAACGAAGACGTAAGGGAGGCGGCGGTGGTAACGTAATCTCAAACGCTTCAGTGTATAGAAGCAGGGACATGAACGTGAACTTGGCAACTTTCAGGCATTAATTGTGGATTTATGGTCTATGGCGCCGATTTATCCCGAGGCACCGACAAGGTGATGCAGCAGCGGCAGGACGGGATCAGTCCGCTACACGGCTGCCAGCTGAATGCCTTTACTGGAGGAAAAAGGCGCAGCACACGTCCAGCGCAGGCCGGCTTGATCTTTTATTAAAATAGGACAGTATGTAGAGAGAATCACCCAGCAGCTGGGAAACACCCGTGGTTTACTTTCATTATTGAATCGGCTCTCGATATCGCTCTCCAGAGACGCTGCCACGGCATCAAGCGGATCAGGCCTGTGCTGAAGTACCGTGCGCGCTTCGCGATATTTACCGTTGAAAGCGCACAAATGTGACGGGAACTTTTATCGTTAACACGCCTAACGAAAGCACCTAGTGCTTGTAACATTGTGTTTACTATCCGCTTGGCCAGTTTTCGTTGTTTACATAGGTTGCGATACTGTTTTGTCTTATCAAACTGTTTTCCCCTATCGATAACAGATCATTGTATTGCTAGTTTAAGATAAACAATACGCCTAACCGGCGGTGAGGGTGGACTCGCCGTTTATCGTGAAGATAACGACTCGACACAAACCGTCTTGCCCCAGAGAAGCTTTTGGATCAAAGCGAGATTCATGGATCAGAATGATAAAAAGACCCTCACGGTATGTGTGCACACTTTTGTTTCATCAATGTAAATGTGAAAAATACTGCGTGATGTTAAAGATAAGACCGGCGTTTTGAGCATGAACCGCTTGATGAGGCGCTGTAATCAAGAGCAAACACTTGTACAGGTGTCACCTTGTCTCACAGCTAAAAGTGTCTCATAGACAGTCTGTGCCGAACTGTATGTTTTTGGTGCATGTTTTGATATAATGGCATTTTATTTCACTCTAGTCTACCTGTGTTTTACCAGGGCGAATCCAAACAAAACCATCAAATAAACAAGATTTAAAATAGTTTTGGGCCATAACGAATACTCGAACGTCCTCATGATAAATATCCTCTTTAAATGTAGACCATTTGTAAGGCTAAATCAAAAGTCCATGTATGTTTTTTATGGGTGGTGTTATAGTATGAAAAAAGGCTAAGATTCCTCTTTCAATCCCTACAATTATTCACACAAGCTGGAGTGCTACACCATACTGCAGGTATCACAGCATTGCTAATATTCTGTAAAACAGAACGACTAGCAGGGTTATTTTTATATTTCAGTATAGAGTAATTAATGTCAAGTAACTAATGTTTCATACAAAATTTGACCAATTAGTATGTTTATTTTCCACCAATGAAACAATAGTACCAAAATAAGTCAGAACACCAAGGCCTGTTATCAAGCAAAAAGACGTAACGCCGAACTGGATCAGTGTATTTTAGTGGAACGGAGCGACACAGATTTCCCCTTCTGGCTCAAAGCCTTTCCCTGTGTTCCCTGATAGCACACGTACATCATGGAGACGTCTATTTGACATCTACATTTGCATCTGCAAGACAGATTTTTTAGAGTGTTTGCTCATATGCAATACATCTATAGGACGTTTCCTATCAGATGCTAAATAAACATTCAGAAGATGTCTTTAAGATGTTTTTGATTTAGAATGTGTGTAAAACTGACTTCTTAGAGACATTTATCAGATGTGTGTGTACACAGCAGATGCTTTCCAGATGAAGCGATCTTTATCAGACATCTTGCAGACGTACGTGTGCTATCTGGGTTCCCTACTATATATAATAGGTGAGAAGCAGTATGTGAACGGAGTAGTATGCCCAAATTCATAGTATTTATTAAACGGTAGAAGAAAAGGACCCATATGACCTACTACTTCCGGTGAGTTTCTAAACTGTGCATCTGATAAATACTTTACTATCCCATAAGGCCACAGGAGAGGAGTTGTGAATGGCAGTGAAGTGACACAACTGTCGCTGGTGGGTCATGTGACAGTGAAAATGTAGAGGATGTAATGTGTCTGTATTTCATTCATACTACCCATATTCATGCTATATAGAACATACTTTTTTAACAATTGCGAAGTAACCTTCATTCAAACCAACCGTAGCACCTACTAGACAGTATGCAATTTCAGACACAGCTACTGTAATCACTGGAATCCAGCTCTATGTTTTCTATTTTTGGCTTGCTAGTGAGAGAAACCCCAGATAGCACACGCACATCTGCAAGATGTCTGTTAAAGATCGCTTCATCTGGAAAGCATCTGCTGTGTACAAACATCTAATAAACATCTCTAAGATGTCAGTTTTACATACATTCTAAATCTTAAACATCTTAAAGACATTTTCTAAACATCTATTTGACGTCTGACAGGAAATGTCATATAGACGTATTTCATATGAGCAAACGCTCTAAAAAATGCGTCTTCCAGATGTAAACATGCATGTCTCCGAGATGTATGTGTGCTATCAGGAACACCATTCAGAGCAAAGTGGTGTCAAAGTAGTATACTAGTATTTGCATAGCACTCGTACTATTTTTGCGGTATCTATTACTGCCTTCAAGTGCACTTGGGAACCTCCAAATTTGGCTTCCATTTTTGTGACATGCCACACATTCAAGTTGGAAACAAAACACCCAAATAACTACGTCTTATGATGTATAAATAAATACATCTTTAACTTATTTATGCATGGTATCACAACTGAATGTTAAGCAAACCATGAAAGTTGAGTGCTTGACACATGGATACAGACATATATTTGTATATTGACATGCCCCTTCCAATGTCTGTCAACTTGGCGACACGTTTATCATCTGTACTTGTGTGCTTGGAACTCGTAATTAGGGTATTTCCAACTCTACTTGAAAAGCGTATATTATATTAGAGAAATATTAGACCAATTTACTTCTAATAACTGAAATGACTACTAAACCCAGAGAATCATATTTGGAGGACTGGAGCTACCTGTTGTCTAATAAAAATTTAGACTCATGTTCTTTCTGCTGTTTAACATAATTGCCATGGAAACTGAAGTTCATTTTTAATGGCAAGCTTCTGTTGAATGCCTCGTGATAGTCGGTGTCTGAAAATGTCTTTTTTGTTTTCAGAACAAGTGGAAACAGTTGTGATCTACAGGACAACTCCATTTCTAAGAGATAAGCAGACATTTGGCAGTAAAGCTCCGCAATGAGATAATAGTGTGGCTTACACAAAAACGACCTTGACACTTATCCCACCATATTTCAGTTCATCATCAAAATATGACCACACCGGCTCTATTGCCACTATCGGGACGTAGGATACCTACCCTCTCGCCAGGTGCCTCCTCATTCCCCCATCACAGAGCCACCTTACGGCTCTCAGAGAAGTTCATCCTCCTCCTCATCCTCAGTGCCTTCATCACCTTGTGCTTCGGAGCATTTTTCTTCCTTCCAGACAATTCCAAACACAAGCGCTTTGACTTTGGTTTGGAGGACGTGTTGATACCGCACATCGAGTCAGAGAAGGAGGCAAGGCACAGCAGCAGACAGGTCATTCATGGCGTGGGAGGTCATGACGAGCATCGGCACAGGTGAGAGCTCAGAGATGGCTTCATCTCCTCAACAACTCCATGTGTTTTCATGTTTGTGTGTATAGGTCAGGGCTTCTCAACCGTGGCCCTCGAGGTCCACTTTCCTGCAGAGTTTAGCTCCAATACTAACCAAACACACCTGAACAAGCTAATCAAGGTTAACAGGATTACTAGAAAGTTATTGGCAGATGAGTTTGATCAAGGTCGGAGCTAATGGTGCATTCCATTTGTACTCGTAAGTCAGAAATTCCGAGTTCCCAGTAGGAACTTTTAACTGAAATGCCCCCTCAAGTTGGAATTTTTGTAACAATTCTGACTTTAGAATCCAGTATGGCTTCTCAGAGCATCAACAGAAGTGAAACAGTAGTAATATATTGCATTTCTGTTTGTCTGTGTCTAAATAAACTAAATGGTGCACACAGTTCTGCCCAACCTCTATCTGTGGACATGATACTTTGATGCTATCTGTACAAAATACCATCTTTTAATGTGTTTTTATTGACTGGTATTGCTATTAATGGACACGTCCATCTTGGTTTTCAAACTTGTGTACTGGAACATTGTCAACTCGGTTGTGACATCATTTCCAGTTCTGACATCTGAGGCAAATGGAGCGTAGCAGAAACTCTGCAGGGAGGTGGACCTTGAGGGTTACAGTTGAGAACCCCTGGAATAGGTGGTATATTGTCGTTACTGTGATGATTTATTCAGAAAACAAACTGAACTGCTTTCCTGTACTGGTTTAAATGCTCATCATGTCATCAAAACAATTTAACTGCATGGTACTCATATAACTGATATGTTAATATTTACATACCAAACACATTAAAGTCAAATTGACTTGTTATTGGTAAACAGTTTAGCTTCAAGACTTTTACGTTTTCTAGTGGTAGAGGATATTCAATGAAAAAATTGTAGGTCTTGATTTTAATGCATCAGGAATTCATTGGACTATAAAAAGTGAGTTTTACAAACCAGAATGGAGTGAGACCTGAATGTAGGTTGCAAAAATGATGCTTAAAATGATCACTGTTGGCTGTTGGTGAACATTATCCAATAGCCTGTGTGCCCGATGTGACATCAGGGGGGATGAAGTCATTGAAAGATTGTGAAATGTTGTCTTTCTGTTAATACTATTAATCTTACCATGTAATTGGAAAGTCGCATACCACAAGGTGTTTCATGGCTATTTAGCACACATGTAGGTGTGAGCTCTGTGACTGGGCTGTTTCAGATGACCTCTGAAAGCTTTTTCATGCCCCAATCTATGACCGCGAACAGTGATTCTGAGCCTGAAATCTTTGGGAATATATATTTTTTTATTAGGCATAAAATTCAAAAGTGTTCCAAGATCATTTTGGAAAACCATATGTTAACCACAAGGCAGAGAGCCTCAGTACTCCTACACACAAACAGACACTCCCTTCACTGTTTTCTAAGAAAATAGAGAGAAATCAGATCTTTATACTTTCTGTTATTCTGAGATTGATGTTTTTGCCTTCTTGTTTTGCCCCTAGCAATACTTCCAAGATTTTTAAAGGCTTTTCTTTCATACTTGAGACGGTTGTAGCCACCCAGTCAGTGGTTCAGCTCTCGGTTTCTTTCTTCAGCTGTGGACCACAATCCATTGAGAGTTTAAGTGAACTTCAGTGAAAAAGCGTTTTCTGCTGCTTTGTTGTTACTAAGGGTTGTTTCTGCCTTCGCCATTGAGCTGTGGCTTGTTCTGCCTGTCTTAAGTATCAAGAACCATTTATGCAGCCTTTTATATTTAGAAAAGATTTTAAACCAAGTGAGTTTTGAATGCAACTCCCAAAAAAAGAAAGTTTGTATTTTGGTAATGAATTTGCACTCTTAGATTGCTTGAAAATTGCATTACTTTTTCCCAGCGCAACATAAGATGAGTTATCAAAATCTCAGAGCATATCTTTTCCATGTAAAAAAAAAAAAAATGCATTCATAGCTTTAAATCATGCAGTTTTTCCCCACATTTTTTAAATATGATCTCTTTTGTGAAATATGAAACATTTGAATTAAAAGTAGGAAGGTTTTTTTTGGTCACCCAACCTTTCACTGCCTATGGAAATGTGTGGCAAATGACTTTGTCTCAGCTAGGCATTAATGTGACCGAGGATCATCTTGAAATTATGCCGGCTGGACTGAACTCAGCCTCTTAAAGGGGACATAACACACCGTTTCCAATCTCATGTTAATCTTGAGTACCTATATACAGGTGCATCACAATAAATTAGAATGTCGTGGAAAAGTTCATTTATTTCAGTAATTCAACTCAAATTGTGAAACTCGTGTATTAAATAAATTCAATGCACACAGACTGAAGTAGTTTAAGTCTTTGGTTCTTTTAATTGTGATGATTTTGGCTCACATTTAACAAAAACCCACCAATTAACTATCTCAACAAATTAGAATACTTCATAAGAACTTCATACTTCAATAAAAAAAACATTTTTAGTGAATAGTTGGCCTTATTGCATTCTTCATATTTCCGAAGAGTCTTTTGTTTTTTCAGAATTATAAAAGAAAGATACAGCTTTACGCTTCTCTTTGAGAACAGCCGATCTCCTGGAGGCATGCCATGGGCGGAGCTAAAGAGTCATGAGCCCTTACGCACCGATTGCCAACAAAACACAGAAATTTGATGCAGTTTTACTTACTGCAGTTCTGACTCCTGACCAGGATCTTTTATCGCGGGGACCGCTCCATCTTTCATTATCAAACGATGTGCAAATCCAGCGTTTAACTGGGCCTTGTTTATAAAACATTTGTCACTGAAATGACGGGAACAAACAAACACACTTCTTTAAGCACATGAAAATGCGCTCTGTTACTAGGAGACACTTGACAAATGAAAACATGTGTTCTAAAATTGACTGAAAATATCAAACATGTTTGATCTCCTCCGACTGGATGGAATCATAATCTGAAGCCTGTAAACGTCCTGAGTCTGTGACCATCATACACTACGTGATTTTCTATGGAATCTGTCAACTCAAATCTGCAGACCGGCTCTGACTTTCGGCAACTAGTGTCAAATTCTCCAGACTGTAAATCGGTGGGAAATCGGGGCAAAAATCATGTTTTTCAGTGTTCAGGATGATCACGTGATTCATCTTCAGCTATCATTGCTGTGCTGTTTAATGTGATGCTGTGTACATATAGCATATCTCATCATGACTGTATATATTTAGCTTTGTGTGTTCCCTGCATTGTAGATGGGCCTGGTATTATAGAGTTAGTTGCATTTATTTATCATGCTTAGCAAATCCTTGGATGGCATAGTCATATTCCATGCTCCATTTTCCCCATCAGGCAAGCGTAATGGTAATAAATGGGCATTCATGCTTGCATACAGGCAGGTTCATATTCCCTGTACTGTTATCATCATGAAACTTTCATTTAGCTTGACTTTCACACAGGCACATACAACAGCAGTTTTGACACGTCAGTCATGAGGTATTGTCTTAAGCCCTATTCGCACGTGATTAGTATTATCTGGGGACCTTGTGTGATTTTGAAATTACCCCCCCACATCTGAATTTCGTGTGGTGCATTCGCACGGGATTGTGATTTACCGGAAAAGGATAAAAGAGAAAGATGTAGGCTATTTTTACATTTTAGAGCTCGGCATAACTAGAAAAATGTATATTCGTAAAATGTATGATATTTTGTTAAAAAATTGTTAATGGGGGTGAATAAGAAAATAAGAAATATATTGTCTGTATCTGTGTTTTTAGGCTAATTATAATGCTTGTTTTATTTTAAATCATTTTAAATTATCTTGAGGACCCCATTTGGAAACCACTGGTGTAATTGGAAACTGATGTGCAGAAATGATTTTTACGTTTTTATCTCCACAATAAATATTGCAATTATTTATTGTGGAATAAATAACAATAAATTATTTATTTATTGTTAACCATTGCTGCTCACCTTTGGCTTTCTCACTTGGGGGCTGTGAGACAGTTTGTCACATTATTGCTTTGTACCAGCACGTATTGTGCTTTACAAATAACTGATTATTCAGATAGATCCCCTTGGTTTCATAGAACAGTGTGTTCTGTTTGTGTATGGTCATTACTTTCTATCATGAAGTTGGCCACTGCATCATCATTCCAGAAACTATGTAATGCTCCATCTGTATTTGGCCAAACTGCAAGTCAGTTTTGCTAAATCTGAAAAAGCAGAGTCACAGTTGTACCTGAACAATGATTCATGCTTATTGAACCTGCTTCCCACATCTGCTTTCACTCATGACCCAAAGAGCTCATCCTGGCCATGAGCTCTGAAGCCAAACACAAGCTCTCTGTCTGATCTGCCTCTTACACCCGGGGGCACTGTGATCTGCGCCAGCCCGTGTCCTGTTATCCCTGTCAGTGTGCCATGCTAGAGCGGCCTATACCCATGTTTACCTGGGCCTGCTCATTGTTGGTTTTCACCAGTCCACCAGTGTGATTAGTACCAGACTGGAAGTTATTCTTTGGTAGTTGGCATTTATTCTTTGTCTTTGATGCTGTTTAAATTGGGGTAACTCAAACATTTGTTTAGAAAAGTACAATTATTAACATCTGTGATTTTAATTACTGGTTGGGGTGGAATTGGGATTTTTTTTATTACTAAGGCGATTATTACTAAGAACTATTTTCTATTTTTGAATATATTTTGTAAAAAGTATTCTTGTGATGGCAAATCGTTCAAAAATATTCAGCAGCCATTATTCCAGTTTTAAGTATCACATGATCCTTCGGAAGTCATTCTAATATGCTGATTTGTAGTTATATTTATAAATATATTGCCGGTATACACTGCATTGTCGGTGCAGTGGCCATTTTCTTCTCTTTTTTTTTTTTCTAACGTCAGATGGGATGCCTGCAGGCAGTGCATGAACCTCTAACTGTTATTTTACCCATAAAGCTGCAAAGAGGTCAGAATCCATAATGAAGGGGCATAAGGCAGATTTGCGCACAATGGAAAATTAGCTTTAG